GGGAAGGGGGGTGCAAAATAGTCTTTCACCAACCCTGATGATAAACGTGCACTTAGATGTCTGATGTGCACTCAACTCTAATCCAAAACTCTTGATTATATTCTGTTAGAGCCCAAATAATTTATAATGGTGTTCTGGCAACAGACACAGCAGTGGTTCTCTGTGAAGGTGTTAAATCACATAGCCTCATCAATGCTCTAAATCCTATCACTGAATTATTTCCTGGCAGAACTAGTAAAAGTCATGCCTACTGCGGCTCTAGACTTTATGAGGCCTTATGTGAAACTCAAACATGAAGCCCCGCTAACAAAAAAAGTTAAACTGTCACATATACACATTGATGCACAGTTTACCTGTGTATGTGCCTGACAAGAGTATCCTTGTGTGTGTGAATGTATGTCTCTGTGAGCATGTTTGCGTTTTTGTCTATATGTATGGGGTAACTGCTTGAAGTGTGTTGTGTGTATGGGTGGGGGGGTCTGCCTGTATTCTTTGGGTTTTGTGTTTATGGCAAAGCTATGTTTCTTGACTGTGTGTGTATGATGAATGTCTTCAGCTGGTAACTGTGACAAGGTGAGTAAAGGGGTACCAGTGGCAGGGAGAGAGTGACAGGGCGAAGGGGGTAAATGGACAGGGGGGGTTGTGAGATAGAATGAGGAACAGGGAGTATGGCATGGTTTGATGAGGGAGTGTGACAGGGCGAGTGGAGGTAAGTGTGGCAGGGCAATTGTGGCATGGGAGGAGGGACGAGTGTGACAGGATTAAGGGGGTTAATGTGACAGGGTGAGTGTGCCAGAGTGAGGGCAGGTGAGTTTGGAGGGGGTTAGATTAACAAGATTAGGAGTGGTTAATGGGAGTGTGGATGAATGAAGAGGCTGACAGTGTGGGGGGGTGATGACAGTGTAGGAAGGAGTGACAGTGTCTTGGGAAGCTGTGTGTGAGTGGGTAATATTGTGTGTGTGAGAGGGTGAGGTGTGAGGGAGGGGGTGATGAGGGCGAGAGGGAGGAGTGGGTGATGGTGAGAGGAAGGTGATGGTGTGGGTGGGTGAAGGTGAGAGGGTCTGATGATGAGAGGGAGGGGGTAATGGTGTGAGGGTGGGTGATGGAGTGAGGAAGGGTGGGTGATGTGAGAGGGAGAGGGGGTGATGTGAGAGGGAGGGTGATGGTGGTGTGAGGGAAGGGGTGATGGTGTGAGGGGGTGGGGATGATGGTGTGAGCAGGAGGGGGCTTGATGGTGAGAGAGGGGGTGATGGTGCGGGGGGGGTGATGTTGAGGGAAAGGGGTGATGTTGAGAGAGGGGTTTTGATGGTGAGGGGGTGATTGTGTGAGGGAGAGGGAGAGGGGGGAGACTACATACCTTTATTCCCTGGTGGTCCAGTGGGCTCCCCTGGTGGTCCAGTGTGGGCTGCCTGGTGTTCCAGTGGCCATTACATTACACAGAGCTGCAGACCATGTATCTTGCAAGACCCGTGGTAACCCGCGGCAATGCTCTGATTGGCCAGTTCTCGCGAGACACATGGTCTGCAGCTCTGCACACTGCGGAGCTGCAGACAGGTGTCTGTGATGGCTGGCAGGGCAGACAGGAGCGGCCTCACACCCGGTGGCATACTGAGCAACAGTCTGCCCTCAGGCAGTTTTGGCTGAACCTTTTGATCTTTATTAAAAAAAAAAATACACAAAACTACTCTGCTCTCCTGGATATCAAACAATTGCAAACACAACATAGGTGTAAGAAAAAACAAAACAATGTGTTAAATATATGCGTGCCACAATTATTGGCAGCCCTATTAATTTATATAAAATATATATTTGAAGTATATTACAATTGATATTTTAAATCTTTTAGTACCTCTGGGTGACTAGGAACAGGAAATTGATCAGCCATGGTTTCCTGTTTCACATGAGTATACACATGAGGTAACACATAGGCCAAATTCTTGTTGAAATTAGTCATTGTTAAGAACTGCAGTTGTTATGGTACTGCAGTCTTCTATTCCTTTCCCAATAGCTGAGCATAAGTGATTATAACTGCAGTTAGGATGTAGAGGAATAGTGTAGATGAATGCAGCTTCCAAGACGATTCTCCCCAGCAAGTAGAATATTCCCCAAGCATGAGCCTAGACTTCATGAAGGGTGTAACAGGAATAACCTTTATTGATGCCACACTGGCTTTTATGAGAATCCTCCTGCAAGAGGACCTCCCACAGTAAACAAAGAGAATAACCATCATACAGATTTACAGTAACACCCTCCCTCTCTCTGCCTGGGAGATATTGAGGTAAGTTAAGGAATAACCCAATATCTCCAGGCAGAGGGCACACAATTTTCCCAAAAATTAGAACACCCCTTTATACAACAGGTATCCCCACAAATTTCACCCAGATCGGTTCAGGGGTTCTCAAAAAGTATTGAAGTCATAAGTTACCGACCACACACGAGGCTCCTGCCCAAAACAGTTCCACGAATTCAGCGAGCGGTCGGTCAGTTCAGAAAATGGCATAAAAGCGAATAAAGTCCCAAATGGATCCTCCTGGCTCATAGGAGCAATTGTTCCCCTTGTTCGTATGAACTAAATTACCGAATGGAGCTCTCCTGGCTGTTCGGCAACTAAAGGAAGCAGGCGTTCGTATGTTTCAGCGTGGTTTCGGGAAGTCGAGTGTCCGATTTTAGTTCCAGACACTTGACGACCAAGTCCGGCTTCCTCCTTTCATGAAAAGAAGATGGCTGCCGTTTTCTGTTCCATGTGGCATTCAGCTATACGAACGGCGGCCGCCCAGAGAGCACTTAATAGACGGTTCTCTTTGAAGTTAATGAGCCAGGAGGGTGGTTGGTGTTCGGTAGTTTTAAACTGCCGAACCAATAAATCCAAAACAAACGAAATGTTGCAGAAAAGCACGAACACAGAAGAAAATGCAGAAACTCAGTCTATTTTCTTCACAGTCATTCATCATGAAGGTTAAGAATATAGCTGTTATGTGTGGCAAAAGGTTACTGAGTTTCACAAAAGGGAAAGTGGCTATAATAAAATAGCAAAAGCATTGAAAATGCCCTTTTCTACCATCAGGGCAATAATATAGAAGTTCTAGTCAACTGGAAACGTTATGATTCAACTCACGAAGAGGACGTGTGTCTATATTGTCTCTGTGCACTGTTAAGAGGATGGTTCAAGTGGCCAAAAAAACTCCAAAGATCACAGCTGTAGAATTACAGAAGTTAGTTGCATCTTGGGGTCAGAACATCCACAATTCGACATCACTTACATCACCACAAGTTGATTGGAAGGGTTTCAAGAAAAAAGCCAAAAATAAACTCAAGCATTTCAAGTTTTCCAGACTTCAAATAAGATCCGGTCTATGGTCAGATATAATCAAAATAGTGGGTTTGGCACACACACAGAGAGGTAGCCATATGGAAAAATGCCTCATGCCCAATGTTCAATATGGTGGTGGCTATTTAATGTTTTTGGGCTGTTTCTCTGAACATTTTGTTAGAGTCCAAGATGCCATGTATCCTATCAAATATCAACATGTATTAAATGAACGCATGACTGTCTGCCAGAAAGCTTAAAATAGGCCATGGTTGGATCTCCAAAACATACACCAAAATCGTCCCTAGATAGGTTTACTGACCACAAGTCCTGCCATGGCCATCAAAGTCCCTGACTTGAACCCCATAGAAAACCTGTGGGGTGAACTGAAGAAGAGAGTCCACCAGCATCCATCTTGACATTTGAAGGATCTGGAAAATTCTATATGGAGGAATGGCCCCAGATCCCTTGCCATGAATTCTTCAACCTCACCAGGCATTATATTAGAAGACTCAGGGCTGTTATCTTGCCAAAGGGTGGTAGCTAGTGATGTCCCGAACGGTTCGCCGCGGACTCATCATTGAGTAAACTTTGACCCTGTACCTCACAGTCAGCAGACACATTCCAGCCAATCAGCAGCAGACCTCCCTCAGCAGACCCTCCCTCCCAGACCCTCCCACCTCCTGGACAGCATCCATTTTGAAGCTGCATTCTTAGTGCGCTGTCCAGGAGGTGGGAGGGTCTGCTGCTGATTGGCTGGAATGTGTCTGCTGACTGTGAGGTACAGGGTCAAAGTTTACTCAATGATGAGTCCGAGGCGAACCGTTTGTGGCGAATCGTTCGCGAACCGTTCGGGACATCACTAGTGGCAGAAAATTGTGAATAAAAGGGTGCCAATAATTGTGCCACATATATATTTTATTTATACACCTGTGTTATGTTTGCAATTGTTTGATAGTATTTTTGCATATTTTTAAACAAAAGGTTAAACAAGAAAGATGATTTTTCACAGCCTATATTAGAAGAGGACACTGTAAATGACAGATTCACAATCACCAACATACATATAGACACATTCATCCAGTCATATACATACAAATATAGACACTTAGTCACGTGCTTAAACATTTTTATGAAAAATCTCCCGTATTTTCCCTGTAAAGCTTACCAGTGATTCAGGACCGGGGGGAGGAGAGGAAGCCCGAGTGACAGCAGTCCCTAATCTCTAGTAGTGGACAAGTCAGGGACCTGTACATAAGCTTGCACAGACTCATTCCTGCTCTTCTTTGGCAGCAGGCAGGTGTGTTTATATTACTGCGCACCCACTGTCCGTATGCAGTGGTATATTTTGGATTTGTTCTGCCCTAGACCTGACGGAACTCTGGCAGCCCCTAATTTAAATTTGCCCCACCCCTTCCAGCCAAGGCCACACCCCTTCCTGTTAAAGACTAACACAGATTTTTTTGGGGTAAGTATATTTTTTTCAAACACTACAACAGTGTGCATATAGGTTAACAAGATTGACAGTGGACATTGAAGTTGCACATTTTTTTACGATTATGTATACAAGCTTAACGTAACTTATGATTATCTAAGATGAATATAAGTGTATATGCGGGGGGCGGGGCCTGGTCGCCGGTCGGATCAGACACGCTTTGTCTGAGCTCCTGCTTCTGAGCTGGAAAAATCGGAGCTAACTGCGGGCCACAAGCAGATACCGACCTGAAATTGCGATCATAGCATTACTCAGGTGACGACGATCCAGGGGACACCCAGCAGGACACCCAACGGCACCAAAGTAACCCGACCAAGGCCTGAGGCCTACGAGCTTGAGCTTGGGTGAGACAGCCGCTCTCCCGGTTCTCCGACCGGCGTTCTTCCACCCCCGGGGGTAATGCCGGTCTCCACGGGCGACCACCACGACATGCCGCAGCGCCTCCACTACGGTCCTGCCGGAGGTCGGGCGGTATACCCCAAGATGGCCGACCGCTGCCTCTCTGGTGCGGGACACGACGCCGACACCGAACAGCGCACAAGTGAGCATGAGTCCTAACTCGCGGCAGAGTCCTGCAGCGGCTCCCGAGACAAGCCCTATGCCCGCTTAGCAATGTCCGCAACAATGGCCGAGGAGGGTGTGGAGATGGAAGGGGAAGCGGGGGAAGAGCTGGACCCCCCGGGCGCTCTTTTTCATACTACAACACTGCCGCACATGACGGGCCCACCTGGGCTGAAGGCCACAGAGAAAGCAATCCCGGAACACCGGCCGCATACGCTGGGTATCTGATGATGCAGGTGGTAATTAACCATCAGGAACCACAGCAGCCCCCCACAGGGGAAGAACTGGGCCTCCCACGTGAGCAGCCTGGTTCGCGGCCATGAGGTGCAGGCCTTCACACCGGCCCGGGGCTACAGAGGAGGCTTACGCCTGAAACCGAGCCGAGGCATGGGCTAAACCGGGACTTTTAACCCCAGAAGCGCAGAAAGATGGTGGGACTACCCACACGCTGGACTAAGCCCTTTCAACGTACTCCCAACCTATTTTGCCGCTCCTGCGAGGGTAGCTGCAAGGAGAACTTTGCTCCCTATGATACAGTGACTTAAGTATTGCCTTGCCTGCATGTTACATCTTACATGACTACACGTTCGCACAAACATGAGCTGGCTACACACGAGGCATACACCAGCCAGCTGCACAAATACACACACACACCACACCCACTACCAGGCCAATAAGGGGGACACTAAACCGGCATGTACACCACATTGGTGAATGCAGGAACGGAGGGACCGTAGTACTCTAGGCAGATCGCCTTACTGAGACATAGACCAGTGTTTCCCAAACCAGTCCTCAAGGCACACCTACCAGTCCAGGATTTAGGGATTACCCTGTTGTGTCTAAGGTGTTTTTTTTCTTCTTTGTAAAAACACCTTAGACACAACTGGGTAATCCCTAAATCCTGGACTGGTAGGTGTGCCTTGAGGACTGGGTTGGGAAACACTGACATAGACAACCAGCACACACTTATACACAATTAGCACACACCGCTTGGTACATGACATGCAGCTGCTCAATGGTCCGCCCGAGGACCCCTAACATGAGAACCACTACTAGACACACATTACTCGGGACAAGCATATATGTCTAACAACACAAGCCGGGTGACACCATCGTGACTACTCACACCAATTATACTAACTCAGCTTGCACCATTTAGCAAGAAGCGTGTTTACTTTATTATATGTCTCTGGTGAAAAGCATGGAAAACGAAACATTTTTTTTTCTCCTTGGTTTTCACTGTTTTTCATTAGTTTACAAGCCTGTTGAATACATCGTTCCACCTCAAGTTAGTTACACAAACGTACCGTAAACCATATGGACAATAGCTTGTTTGCATTATCATTACCTTTCTTATTTTTCTTTAAAAATGTATGCAAACTCAACATGCCACACCACTGTTATGTCTACGACAATCGAGCCTGCTGATGCTGTTGTGGCAATACAGGCACTTTGTACCTACCTGCATTCCAAATATAAAGAATAAAAAAAAAAAGTGTATATGCAATATAAGATACTTGATATGTAAAAGATATAACATCTTTAGATTTGTCTTCACGTTAGAGTAATAATCAGCAGAATAAGTAGTGAAAAGCAGAGAGACATGAGCGCTTGCTAGTTAACCACTGGGACACAGCTGAAAGCAAGGGTATTGCATAGTGTTAAGGAAAGACCTTAGCAATTCAATTAGAATAAACTGACACTCTATAGATGTCATTATGTTATGTTGCAGTGCCAGATTATGAGTTTCAGGGCTGCCTCCCAGGTGGTATAAGTGAGTTCATCCTACGCCCCGGATAGGGAAGCACTTTGTGCCGTGAGTGAGGCTGTTTAACGCCGCAGCCTGAATGGTGCAGTGCCATTAAGCAGGCCATTGTCACAGTGGTACGGACGTGCCTGATGTTGTCCATGTCCTTCCAGAGAGGATGGTGACAGGCGGCCTTGGGGCTGTAAAACCGCTGACTGTGATTGCCAAACTTTCGTGTGGGCGACATTGTGGGATCTTGCCCCATTTGACCCTCGGCCCGGGAGAGCTAGTTGTAAGAGATACACTCGCTTGTGTAAGGTTAAGGCTTTGGGGAGGCCAACACTCTTCCAGCCTCCCAGTCTTCCCCCCTACCACCACAGGCTGAGGTGACAATGCTGTTTGTTGTACCTCCAGAGAGGCCAAGAAACGGGCGATTATCTCATCCAGTCTCTTCAGGGATTGCTATCAGGGCATTTTCCCTCAGACTTTGTGGTTTTGGCGCCACGAGGTGGGAGTGCAGCTGCCATCTTGACAGGGGGAGCTGCGTGTCGGGCAGGATCTGGTACAGTGTCCTTGATTTTCGGTGTTGCTTGTGGCTGGTCAGGGGAGATCTGGATAACTCCCACTGGGGGGGGGGGGAAGGGTTCTGATGATGCCCCTTGCCAGAATACAGCTGTACAGCCACGCCCGCCCAGCTATTCCTCCAAGCTCCGCTGGAACCTCCGCTAGAGGTAAGTTTTGACATAGAAGCGGTTGGGTCAGGATACCCCGGCAGGCTGCTGGCTGAGGTAAGCTGCATGGTCTGTCATTTTGGCGTACTGGGACACGATAAAGATGCTTACTTCTCCGTTTAGGTATGGAGTTCTCATAAAGCGCGTCCAGCCGCCATGAAGCTCAGGCTCCGCCCCCCAGCACACATTTTGACTGACACACCCACTCATGAACAAGCACACACTCTCAGATACATGGACATACACACACTTACTGATTTGACACAATCTGACAGACACACACACAATCATTCAGACACACCCACCCACTCACATTCCCTGACAGACATACACGCTCACTGACAAATATACACACACACACATACACACACACAAATTCACTGAAAGACTCACACACACATTTCCTCCCAACACTCACAATTTGTGTGGGTGGATTATTTACCTGGGGTCCAGTGGGGCTGCTAGGTGGGCAGGTAGACCGGCTGTCAGGCAGGCGGGCTTGTGGGTAGGCAGAAGGCAGGCATGTGTGAAAAGTAGGCAACGCGGGAGCTGTGATCTTCTTGCTCAGATCCCTCGCATGCAGCTAAGTAATGCCGGGAGCAGGATTGATATCTTATTCCGGCTCCTGGTATCACTAAGCGCTCCTTCGCCACTAGCCTGGCACACAACTTGCTGACTGCCTGAGGGGGGTCCAAAGATGGCCAGCCGGCCAGCTCTTGGGCCCCCATAAAACAAGGCTACAACAAGCATTTGCCTGGGCATTTGGGGCAGCATTTTATGCTGTCCCCTGGAAAGTGCTGCCCAAGGCAAATGCCTTGTTAACCTTGCGGTAAATACATTGCTGCCCGTATGAATGATGCAGAGACTTTTAATTAAAAGATCAGGATTAATTAAAAATTACTGCTTGAAAAAGCCTTACCAGCAACCCAGTTATGCTAACGGCAGTCATTCCAGCTAGTAGCGGCTTGTTTTTAAAATGTACCGGCAACTTTGATTACTAGCTCTAAGCCCTATATTTGCAAGTTGTGAACCTTTAGCCACTGATGGAGTAAAGGTAGGAGTAGTTCGACAGTGGCTAATCTAGCAGTCTACATGTTTTCCAAACCTTACCTAACAATATTTCATGCATCTCATTAAATTTATTCACATGCAGTTTGATCGTTTTTAAAGTTCTGGTGTGCAGTCACAGTTATTGTAGTAAATCTGATGTTAGTGTGAGAGGCATTTTGTCTTGGCAGAGATAGCAGCATGGGCCTGTGCAAAAGATTAGTGAATTATTGACTTAAAATAGCTTGAAAAGAACATCTCAGTTAAGAAAACACCCTGAAAATTCACCGTTTCTAAGAATTCGAATGTACAATAAAAGTCCGTTTTCTAATTCCTTTTTTTCTGTGTTTATGGATCATGCTCTATTTAAGTAAATATACAGTTCACATTTCTTTTTCCCTCTAATGTAGTATTATAACTATATAGTGGGAATATGTTCATCGTTAGCACCCTGGGTTATATCTCAAAATGTTATCTTATATACTGATATTTGGATGTTTGTTTATCCCTTTTGCAACATTCTTAAACACACTAAACCTTTTTAGTGAACATCCCCCCCCACCAACCCCCCCAAAAAAATTCTGTAGTAGTCCTTCATGGCACCTTTTTCATTAAAGGGTTACTAGATCCCTTTTGAGAGGGGGTAACTATCGCCAGGGCCTGTACAAGATTTTGCGCCCTAGGCAAGAACAACTACCTGTGCCCTCTTTGTCCCCCCCAGTTCCCCTGTGTGTCTATTTGTCACCCCAGCCTCTTAGTGTCTCTTTGTCCTCCCCGGCCCCTTTGTGTGTCTCTTTATCACCCCTCAGTCCGCCTCTCTTCCCCCTCTCAGTCCTCTGTGTGCCCCCCAACCCTTTGTGTGACCCCCCAGTCCACTGTGTGCATCTATCTCCCCACTTGTCCTCTGTGTGCCTTTTCCTTCTTTCCGCCTCATTCCCCCACCAGCCATCTGTGTGCCTCATTTCCATTCCTATTCAGTGTACTCCCCTCCTGCCAGTCACCCTGGCATTGCGCATTCTGGGCTGGTGCATCCTAACGACCACCTAAACCGCCTAGCGGTTACGCCAGCCCTGACTCTCAAGTGTAATATGTAATGTCAGGGAAGTGGGAGGTGATATTTATCATCCCCTTGCATGCGCTCTGCAATGTGCGCAGACAGCAGTATGGAATGGATCTAAGCCCCAGCATAACACTTGTTTTTGTCTTGATACATTTCCCCCTGTATCTAAAAATGCCAGGTACAATTTTAATTCAAGCTGCTTGTGACCCAAGTTACATATCTGGATAGTCTCTATAACTGTATAAATAATGGTGTTTTAGTATACAATGCAGATGTGATGAAATAGAAGGCTGAAATAAAATCTACAGATCACAGAGAGCATATATTTATGTAGACTTATACATGTGTCTTGGATTTTTTACTGCATAGGAACAATCTTAATGTGCTCAATTCATTAAAATGT